GCCAGCACCATCGTGCTTACCTGCAGTTACCAGCTATTCAGATGCTGACAGAACGGATGGCTCTGTAAACCCTTTGTGAAAAATATTATAAAATTATGATGAAGACATGAGAAAACCCTATTTTTTTCTCTGTTAAAACTTCTCCTGTTCCTTCTTTTATGAGGATTTTCCCCCCTTTCCCTAGGAAAATCTATTCATCTTGGCAGCCTGACAGCACGTGGAGTAATCACCCATTTGATCTTCTTTGCTACGGACCTGCTTGTTAGAGTACCTTTGGAGTACTGTTTCTTTGGAAAGTATAAATATACTTGAGAATATGTTTTTCCACAAAACTTTCTACTGGGAGGTCCGATTCCTGACATTTCTTCATTTCCTGGATTCTCTATCACATACTTCAACGGTGCTGATTAACATCAGCCACATCCTGGCATTAATAATTAGAGGGATGGTATTGGGTCTGAGCGGATTTGATTGCTCTAAAAAAGATTTCCTTATCAGCGTTGAATTCAGGAGAGGTATTTTCTTTCTCCTCTCCTGGAAACCTGACTTTTTGGTTTTTTGCTTTCATAAAGCAAATCCTTTTTCATAAATGCAAATGCTTTTTCATAAAGCAAAAAAGAATATTCCTAAACTGTCCTTCCCGTTTCTGAAGCAGGTGATCGCTCCCTTTTTTGAGGAAGTTGTTTTTCAGTTCAAAGGTAAATTGCCATGGAAATGGTACCTGCAGGCACTCGCTCAGAGCTGGACACTCCTGCTGCCAGCCCTTGAAGACTCCCTGAAGGATTTATTAGAGGATAATAAATGTTAGCTCATTCAAGACAGAATGCAAGCATTATGCGGGAGTTCTGCAAGGAGGCTGTTCACACTGATTTCATCTTTATGAAAAAGGTTAATTAACAAGCCTTGGGAACATGTTTATTGTTTACTACAAGCTATAGAAAGTCCAGATAGCATTGCAGCCCAAAGATTAAGCTTTCCACTGTTAAAATTTTGCAGCTGAATAAACTTCAACATGGAGAGGGGACATGAGGGATCCCACCTGCGCTCCCAGTGACCTGCATGAGAAAGGTGTTGTCCTGCAGTCCCAGCACCCATCCTGCCCACTGTTCCTGCTAAACAAACATTAAGGGATGCAGCCAGCCCAAGGGATGGAGCCAGCTGAGGGCACAGCCCACTGTGACCTGGAAATCACTGAAATGAGCTCAGCCCGTCATGGAACAAGCTCTATGGGCACCAAGGATCATTCCTAATGCCAAGCGCAGCCTTGGCTTTTAGTCAAACTTGTAGGGCCAGCTTGATTTCACTGCAGCATTCCCACAGGCTCACCAGAGCCCTCTGACATGCACTGCACAGAGATGATGTACGACAGACTTCAGCTATCAGGTTTTGGGACAGCTGAGCAGGCTGACAAGAGGCACTTGAATAATTCAGTCAACTGGTTTAACCAAGCCAGACTCTGCTCTTCTCTTTCTCTCTGTTTTCTGTTTACACTGCTTCACAGTGTGGCTGTGTTTCATGGGAAGGGGATTTGTTTGGCTTTGTTTTTTGTCAAAATAATCTTTACAAGCTGTTGAATATGCTGTTTTTCTTAGTTGCTGCGCTGATACCCACGGACAACACCACCTAGGGTAGGTCGGCTGCGGGGACCTCGGCAGCCTGAGCACAAGACACCCATGCTCTGTAAAGGGAAGGGTGGGAAGCTGCGAGTCCCGTGTCCACTCCTGCAGCCCTACGGGCAGCTGATGCTTCTATCCTTGGAAAGGTCAAATGCCTCATAACAGGACCATTAGAAACTCAGCACCGTGCTCTGCAGAGCTCAGCCTCAGCCCCATAAATCACATTGCAAACGCCACGGTATGAATGCAAATCTGCTGTCCTAAGGGAGCCACGGGGACCGCAAAAAAGACAAGCGGTTTTATTCCTTCTTTTCCTGTCATTGCAAGGACGAAATCCCACACCAACAAAATTAATTTATTCCTTTGTTGAAGGCAATAACCAGAAGAGAAAAATGGTAGGAAAAACAAATCTGACCTTACGACATTTGTGACACACTGACAAGAATACAAAATGGCAAGAAGTCCTATTTTTAAAAGCCATCATCCTGCTGCTGTCGGACTGCTCTTACGTCAGCAGTAACCCATAGCAGCTTTCTGGCTTGGCTAGCTCGTCCACGGCAGAAAGCTGCCTCCAAAATATTCACTTGGAGCAAGGAGCTGGGCTGCCACCTAAAATCACCACAACTACCTATGCCTCCCTTTTAAGGTCTCTCTTATGGAAACTGAAGTTTGTGGTTTAAAAAAAAAAAAAAAAAATCCAGTTTTCGTTTTATATCTGTGTGCTTAAAATTACCCATGACTGATTCTGCTGAGGACTCCAGATCTGTAAAAGATAGAAACGGAGGAAGGCAGAACCAAAGTGCAAATAAACAGCCAGGGCGTAAATAGGACTTACACACTCACAGAAACATGGAAAGCTTCAAAGAAGTCTTTGTAAGATTAACTTCATGGTCTTACATTGCAAATGAACAGTTATAAGGAAAACCAACATTTTCTTGGGGTCTCCAGGTTAAGAATATATTTTAAAAACTTCAGATTAATGAGATCTAGTGCACTCATTTAAAGCAAGAATAATTCTTTTTTAATTTTTCTCAAAAGAAAAGCCCAATAGTTAATAACCACCAGAAATAATAAATCAGCCAGTGTAATCTCATTTCCATTACCCTTATTAGCTAAAGAGATTGGTAGATCAAACCCAATTTCATTCTTCCAGAAATAAATATACTATTATTTTTAGCCTCATTTCCCAAGACAGTGAACTCAATGTACTTGAGCTGCCTGCCTGTTTGTCCACTCTGATAAGTTTTGAGCCTGCTGGCCAATTTCAACTTAAATTAATGAAGACAGAGTGGTTTCAGAGATGTTAAAGTCATACCTATTTTGTGAACAATCTCTGGCCAGGAAGGACTCAAACAAATGCCCCCAATTTGAAAGGCAGTAGCAATGCAGTGTGAGACCTATTCACCTCATTTAACAGAAATGGATAGTGGATATAAAAAGTTTCATGGCTGGGCACGGAGAGAGAGGGAATATAGAAGGATACGTGAGGATATAGAGAGGGCTTAGAGGTGTTGCATGGAGGGGTCAAAGAAACATCGATACGTACCTAAGGAATACTGCAAGGATGTAAGGATAAATAAATAAATAAATCCAGAAGCAACAGAGTTCACTAATCCCACCACTCCTGGAACAATTTATTACTAATTCTTCACTCATCCTGATGCTTTTTTGCTACACCAATGCCCATGCAATCATCCTCAAGCCACCCAAACTTCAACACAGGAGACTCTTACTGGAGCTGAGGGGAGTCCCCAGGCTGATGTTTTGGCTAAAACCCTTTGAAAATTTCTGTTCTGTATCTGGCATCTGTATATGTTAAAGAAAAGCAAAGATTACATCCAGACTATTCTCACTCCTAATCTGGAGGGCCACTGCCACCCAGCAGCAGCGCAGTAACAGCAAGCTGGGAAC